GTGCACGATTTCTCGATCATTCCCCAGATGGAAGGTAAACATCAAAAACAAAGTCTTTCGGCGTATCCTCGTAACTTGAACGACTCTCAGCTAAGAGATAATGTTCTTTTTCTGAAGCTACTTAAAGCAAAATTATTATTTCTTAACCATGAAATAAATAAAAACTCCGCAAACAACCACTTTCTTTCATAAGTAACGATCCTTCTCGGCGCCATTTTAAAAGCCTCGTTACGGTGCAGCTGACCGCGTAATTTCGGTCAATCGTGCTCCTGGAACCTAATGTCGCTTTTTATTTGAATTGAAACAGCCGTGTGGTGTAGGAGGAGATCTGTAGGATATCACTTCCAGAGGCCCATTCTTGCATTCATCAAAGAATATTTTGTTAAATTTGATGAGTTAGGTTTAAATTTAAAGCTTAGTAGAAATTATGGTGCTTTGAGGTTATTCGTGGTTTGACAAAAATATTCTGAGGACCACATAGACAAACGATTTGGATTCAAAGATGTAAGAAAGAGTTTTAAACAAATTATTTCAAATCACGCTCAAGTGATCGCTATATAAGTAAGCATTGCGGATAAGGTGATGTGTACTGCGATCAATATCTTAGGGGAGTATCGATCGGCTAAAACTTTCATCAGGAATTATAAGTTACTCTAAACAAATCGGTTAGCATACTGAGACCACGTGTAACTTGGTTATTATCCGTTAATATTAGGTTTTAAGGAGATATTCTGTCGTTAGGGATCAAACATCTGAATAAATAGCCTGGYTGATCGTTCAGAAGCCACGTTTACTTAGGGCTGAGAGTCGGACGATATTTGCCAAAACTGAATTTTAAAATTTAATCTAATTATAATAAATGATAGCAATTTTCGAGCCAAGTATTTTAACTTCTGCTAATTGGAAAGCCGCTTTTTGGATTTATGCTGGTAGAATACACATTGGAGAAGGCAAACAGTGATTTCTTAGTCAGTTAGTTTAAAATTTTAGAAGGATGAGAACATTGCTATAAATACCTCCAAAAGTACCCGATCCTTCGCTTTGCCATCCACCACCACTCTTCTTGCAATCCCGGGCGAAATGCCCGGTTTGTTCACATTTATAACACTTCACGTTCGACGACATACCTCACCTGAAAGTCAAAGACCTCAATGAATGAAATAAAAACCGGAAAACCCAAAATCGGCTTCGTAAAGTTTGGGGCGAAACACGAAGCCGTGAAGTATGTCGTAATACCGGTTCGCCGCTACTTGAGCGGGCTTTTCTACGGTTTTACCACCAAAATCCATCGGGAAAAAAACACAAATTATCGTAGGATGAATTGTTAAAGTTACCTGAACTATTTCAAGGGATGTTGTACCTTGAAAACCCGTGGAAATCCTACTTTTTTCAACCTGTCCAACACGGACACCAACTTTTGGTCATGAAAATTTTTCCACGTGTTTGAAATTCATCCTTGCCCCGCTAAGCTACATGGGATACATAAAACTATATGTTCCACTTATATCTAATTGAAACCGCTATCCATTCTTTAGCTATCTTTACTGTATTTCTCTAYATATGACCTTAATTCTAATATCATTCTTTTGAGCGTTTGCATGTCCCTCAAAATTAATTAATCCATTTTCTAAACTTCATACAAAGTTTTTATTCAAAACAAGGTTTTATTAAGTAAAAATTAGTTTTTTTTGTAATGCATTTGTTTTATGCCTTGATTTCGTGCCCCTTCCGCTGTGTCTTCTTCTTTTCCTTGAATGTCCATCTTATGCAGCTTAACCAGAAAAAATAAAGTCATCATCACGTATATCTCCAAAATCTGTTGAAATAAATGATATATTATCATGATATAAGGAACTGCAGAGCACTTTTTAAAGTAGGAGGGGGAGGGGGCTAAGTCGCACTATTTTAAAGTGAGAGGTGCTTATCTATTTCTGAAGAACTCAGACTAAAAAAAAACATTCAATGGTTTCTTACAACCCATCATGAAGCACTTTGATTTGGTTCATTTGCATCAAATTTGTGGATCACTTTGCATTAACACAATAGCTTTGATCTCCAGTTTTTTTGTTTTTGTTTTTTTAATTCCATATTCATGCAAAGTGCCCCTTAAAGTTTAGAATAAAAAACCAGTAGATAATAAAGGGAAATTACCATTAAAAAAATCTTGGTGAACTTCAAGTGCAATCTCCCCAGATTCTAAACTTAGAGRAGTATCCTTGTTATTTTTATTTCTCCTGGCATCACAGTCTTGCATGAAGACTGACGTTGGTATTTCTCTTCTTATCAGGCCACTGATAGAAACATMTTCATGTTCTTGATTAGAAGAATCAAGTTCTGAAAAGTTGCTATTGAAATCAGATATATATACAACAGAGTATTCTTCTTTGGGATTGGTATGAAGAAAAGAAGAACTAGATGTACTAGGCAGGCTTCCTTGCTCATGAATGGATAATTTACTCAAGCTAGCTGTTATCCTTCCATCAAGAGATTGAACATCACTTGTGAATGTTCTGTTATTCTTTGAATTGTTACAGCTAGCAAGCTCACGGCTGATAATAAGCTTGGCACTCTTGCTACTTTTACTGGTAAAACCCCTCCAARCCTTTGTCCTTCTGCTATCATCTGTGGTACTTGTTTGTGGAGGTGCTTCTTTGTCTTTAAGAAGCCATGAGGAAAGACCAGTACCATTAAGGCTATTAAAGAATTGACTTTTTATTTTCATTTTTATTGCACTGCTTTGGTTAAGGTGGTAATTGTTACTGATTTCTCTTTTTTCATTGTACTCTAAAATTGAAAAAAACAAAACAGTTTAAATTACATGTTTTTGTAAAATTAGAAGAGAAAGTAAACGTTCAAAAGAATAGTACACACCTCCCCCCCAAAGAAAAACATATCTATCAGTAATTTCAAATCCTGACCTCCCCCCCCCCCCCAAGTCTACATACGATGAGAGATTCCGCTTTATTATCCCCATGTCAGCCACATAAGACTCTAACATAACGCTAAAAAAGAAAAACATTGCGGAAGATATTTCAAGGACAACAAACAGGTTCTTAGGTCAAATAATTTTAAATTAGTTAAAAATACACGATATGACTCCTTGCGCGTCCGCGCAAACCGCAAAAGTCTTAGGTCACGGTTCCTCAAAATTCAAGAAATTCTCCAAAACAAGCCTGAAAACACTGTGGAATTTAACAGCGCAGATCTTAATGGCTAATGCYAAGGCTAAGTTATATTATCTTTATCTTATAATTTTTGTGTTTTTGTTCTTTGTTATAAAGGCCCAGCGTGGTGCGCGAGATACAAAGTTCTAAGAATTACTTACCATAATAAGGGCTTGATGGAGTGTTGAGAATGACACTTGTGCTTAAATTTTGACCTACAAGACTGACAGAACAGCCCATTTTAGAAGATCGATGAATTTTAACGCGTTTTCTAAAAAAAAAGAATTGTTTCATGAATACTTTCAAAAGTTTTTGAAACAAAGCAGGCGAGAACAAAACATTGAGCCCGCAGTATTGTTGAGCTCCATAGCAACGTATGACGGTTTATTCCAACAACGAGTCTAAAAGCGTTACTCGTTTGCATTTTACAGAGTTTCGAATAAGTCAACCATTTAATCTTTTTTTCTGGAGAAAGAGAATTTTTTGTCAGAATTAAAATATCCTGTCGTTAAGCTTTGGGAGCATATTAGACTCCAGTACGGAGTGCTCGTTGACGTCAGAAGTGTGACTTTTTGACGCACTATAGTGACGCACGCGCCACCTGAATCAGACTTTCACATGCACTTCTCTCAGTAGAGAAACGCCCAATGGCGTAACCAGATTTCTTGCAGGGGGGGGGGGGGTGCAAAGGCAATGATTTGAGAACCAAAAAGAAAAAAGAAAAGAAAAGAAAAGAGATCCAATAAAAAATAATTTACATGCAATTTTAAAGCAAATGGAGGTAGATGAGCGGACCGGGTGCACGTGCACCCTGTGCTCCTTCCTGGGTAACGGCCCTGACGCATTAACAAAATGCGGGAGTGAAAGACTTCCAAATGTGAATTTCATTTAATCAGATGCTTTAATTTATGTGGGATTTAGAATCAGATAAGGCTAGATAGGCGCACGCACTAGATCCATGCACCCCGCCATAACCGCACATGCAGTATAGAACAAAAATAAAAGACTGATAGAAAGACCGAAAGAGAGAGAACACGAGGAAGCAAAATTATTAAAATCCTTTTTTTATTCGCACTCTAAAAATACTTATCTCACTTCAATTAACAAGAGTAAATACATAACAGAGACAACGAAAGAACAAAAGAGAGCGGAAGATCACTCGAAAAGGGTCAACAAACCATCATATGTCCAGTAGCTCTCAAATGAAATCAAAGCAAATAGTTATTCAAACACACGAGTTAATTTTCGTGTAAATTATARAAAATTTTATCTTTTCACACAATAACTTTAATTCAATAACTAAAATGCAAGTTTGATTGCGAGTCTAATTCTTAATTCGTAATTCTTTCGTCGAGTATAGGAGTATGTGGTACGAGATTGACGCGCATGCGCATTGCTTGCTAGAAAAATTAAATAGGGATACCACACTACGTAAATAATATAAACAAAATCTGCAAAGTGCATGGTAGAAAGGACACAAAATAAATTAAGACATTTTGGTTTGAAGGGATGAGAAAGAAATAAAAGTGCATTTCTTTCTTCTTCTTCTTTTCAGTCACTTTTTCTTTTAAATTATCTATATTTTAGAAAACAAAAATATACTTTGTGTACGTGACTACAGTTACTTAGAAAATAAAATTTAAGAGTTGTCTGGGAAATGAAACAGCAATTTTGTACAAAGTCATTTCAAGTATATAAATGGGCGTGTCACAAGGGTAGCATCAATAATCAATAATAATAATAATGGTCAAATATTATTACTTTTATTGATAATATCAATGCTATCAAATGATTTAGCTGTTTCAACGTGGATTTAGTAGTACCATATTTAGATCTACAAGAGTTTACTAAATACTTGTACGCGTGCGTATGAGGATTTCGTGCTCCAGGACCTGACCTAGTGACAGGAATAAAGCTACGTGCACAAGAGAGTTGCTCAAAACAGCTTCCGGAACGCTACTGCAAGTGCAAGTCCACTGTACTGTACGTCCATAAGGGATGATCCAGAAATAAGTCAGGAGAGGTTACTTCAAAAGTTCAATTTCTACCAAATGATGTGGCAGCACCCCTATTTTTCAAATTATAAAAATACCTTTAATTCCAACTGGAGAAACTTTTTAAGATGTTCCAAAATTGTCTCAGTGTTTGACTGGCTCTAAATCGAATCTTGAAATGTGTCGCTGTATATTCTATGAAATTGGAAGACCTTTACTTTCATAAACGATGATGCAGAGTATAAACATAATGAGCTGAACAAGGGTAAATTTTTTAGCTATCCCGAACAGTTGATGAAAAATTTACGAATTCAAATCTTCATTCATCCTTATCATTTAGCCTTAATAAAAGATTAGGCCTAGATAATCTCTGCTCAAACTTATTCCACCTGATTGAAAACGGCATCAACCCTTGTCCTTGAAGGTGGAGTTCATCAGAACCAGTGAAGAATTCATTTTAAAATATACAGCACGATTCATAAGATTAAGCATACGGAAGAACTCTTTGTATCTTGTGTTTGTTGCGCAGAAACATTGTTATTAGTTTCTTCAGCCTTCTTCAAGCGTTCTCGCAATTCTTCGATTTCTTTTTCTAGGTATACCATCCTGTCGTCCTTCAGCTGTCCATCTTTGGTTGAGCGCTTTAATCTCAGTTGTAGGTCTTTGATTTTTCTGTCTGAAGTTTCCAAATCCCTCTGCAAATCGTGATTCTTCTGCTGCCATAAGATGTCCTGATTTGAACTGCTTTCTGATGCTGCGAGATAAATAACATTCGTGTAAGAAACATTTCATTGAAGATTTTGAGAAGAACTACAAGCATTCACTCTCTTCTACTTTGAGCGTAATGCTTCCCCATTTCACCACTTTTGCGGAGGTCAATTTTCGTTACTTTATACCTGTAAATCTAAGGAATTATTCTCGAGGGACTGATGGATGACATGTGGTCTGATGAATGACACGTGGTCTAAAATAGGCAAATACTGCACAAGGTCTATTCATGCAATCTCAATGTTTCCTTTACAAGGAGTAGATATAGTATAAACGAGAGAAATCCAGTCACGTCACGGTATGGATGCGATAGACGACCTCTGTTCAACCAATCAAAACGCGTGAGATCACAGGCGTTGAAGGGGTTAAAGAAAAATATTAACAAATCAACGCTGCAAACCTACCACCGGCGTCATATTCAAGCCACGCCCTAATAAGTTGTTACCAGTTGCGGTATATACAAGCGTATGAAATTTAAAATGAATGGTAACCGCAGTAAGAGTAAACTACCTCAAAGGAGGGGTGCTGTTACCTCTGAGGGAATAGCATGTCTTTATATTTTACGCCCTAATAAGTTATTACCAGTTGCGGTATATGCGCATAAAATTTAAAATAAATGGTAACATTTATGAGTAAACTACCTCAGGGGGGTGCACTGCAACCTCTCGGGGAATAGCCTGATATTATATTTTTTACCAAGGGGGAAACATACATACTGTACAGTGAAAAAGTGTGGGGGAGGTGTACTCTCTCCTTTCCCCTCCCCTAGATCAACCCCGTCTCCCTCATCCATACCGGAAGTAGTACACCTTGCCGCTACATTTATCAACAGACAGTCCTTTAGTTCTCACCTTGACTTGCACTTCCTTTTATGCGGGCGATCTCTTTTTGTAGGCCATGAATCTTCTTTTGATATTCTAATTCTTGTTCTTGTTTTCTTTCCAATTCATAGACAAGCCTTCTATCTGCRTGTTGTTTGTTGTGAAGATCATCTCTGGACCTTGTTCTGGGGGTGTTGTCAGGATGGTCTGTTGTTAGAGACTCTTTCCATGCTGTAGACTTCACTGACTCCGACACTGAAACCCGCTTCATCGGTTCCGCTAAAACCTCGTTTTCGACAGGTTTCTCTGTTTCATCTTTCCCGACTTGTTTTTCTGGTTCTGTTTCATTTTCAGCAGGTTTTTCTTGTTCGTCCGCCTTTTCAGTAAGTTTTTCTGACCCACTCTCTTTCTCGACATTCTCGGATTCTTGTTCAACGTGTTTTGACTCATCAGTAGCGGGTTGATCTGGACCAGCTTCCTCTGTTGATAGATCAGGTTTTTCTTTCTCAGCAGGTTCTTCTTGCACATCAGTCTTTTCTTGGTCAGCAGGTTTTTCCTGTGATTGGTTGACCAATCCTGCAGCTTTTTCTTGATCAACAGACTTGTCTACCTCGTTTTCTTGCTCATCAGGTTTTTCCTGTGATTGGTTGTCCAATTCAGCAGGTTTTTCTGCCTCATTTTCTTGTTCAGCAGGTTTTTCTGGTTGGGTTTCCTGGTCAGCAAGTTTTTCTGATTCAACTTCTTCCACAGCAGGTTTTTCAGGCTCAGCACATTCGTCGGCTGTTTTTTCTGGTTCAACAGGTTTTGCCGCTTCACCTTCTGATTCAGCAGGCTTTTCTGGTTCTTTTTCTTTATCATCCGGTTTTTCTGATCCAGTTTCTTTCTCTGGTTTTTCTTGTTCAGTTTCTTGTTTAGCAGGTTCTTCTGGATTTCCTTGTTCAGCAGGTTTTTCATGTTCAGTTTCCTGCTCAACAGGTTTCTTGGGTTCCACACCAGGCTCCTCTGTCCTTGCAGCATCCTTTGATGTTTCTTCATTAACTGACTTTTCTCCTTTTTCAGCACCTTTTTCTTGTGGATTTTTTTGGCTTTCTTCTTCTTTCGACTGCTCCTTTGCAGGCAGCTTTTCAGCCTCAGCCTCTTTTTCTGTTGATTTTTCCGATTCTGATGTTTTGTCAGGAGAATCCTCTGCAGCTCCTGAATCTGTTTTCTTTTCTACATCACTATCTGCTGTCTTTTCATTTTCTTTGTCTTTTACAGCACCTTCTGGGGTTTCTTGTTCAGAATCTTTCTTTTCTTCGTCTTCTTCTTTTGTCTTTTCAGGTTCTGCTTGTTCATTTTTTCCTTCTTGCCCTGATTCTGGTTTATCCAGTTTGTCTGGTTGTGTTTCTGTCTCATTAGCAGGTGCAGGATTCTCAGGGATGCTTTCAGTACTCGTGTCCTTGGCTTCATCAGAACCTTTTACTTCGGTATCTTTTAAAAAAAAGATAAAGAATTTTAAATTCAGCATCGTCATTCCCTTTTCAGGGAAGGGCAGTATGTATATTTCCTAGTCAAACCCTAGGCCTGGTTGCTCATTTTGAGAGATTATGCAAAGGTGCATTTCACAGTATTTTGCAAAAATGTTTTGGCTGTCAAGATATTGGAAGTAATTCATTCTGGCCTGGCAAAATTATAACCACTTTTCTCCTGGTTTCTGTAAATAAAGCATTTTCTTATTCAGATATAAAATTTTGTCCAGAAAATATCCATACCAAAAACAAATTTCAAATGTCTAAATTATGATCATTATGAAAAACTGTGTCAAATAAAGTACCTCAACACATGCACCCATTGTTAGAAGTCAAACAGCTTCTTCCATGCTTCATTCACTAATACAGTATGCATGAAATAATTATTGAYGAAAGCATAGAAGAAATGCAAAGAAAAGCACAAGCTAAAAATAATGCTTCTCAAACTTTTGAATGCTTTTTGCACTTCCTAAAAGCTGTATTTCTGGACAGAGCATGAAAGAAGTTATGCTTAACGAGCACCTATTCTCTACAATTGAAAAACATCAACATGCAAGCAGACAATGAGGTCAACCCAAAAGTCTTGGATCTGACTGACAGCTGTACATGTACCATCCTTGAGAAGTGTCAAGGCCRGAAAACTAGACTGCCTGATCTTCAAGATGTTACCGATTGAAAAAAACAATCCCAAACTTAACATCAAATTGGATTCCATCCACACTCTTAATCAGGCGGTATAATAGCAAGACTAAAAAATATTTTTCATTGTTTTCATCTTAATCAATACCCTCATGAAAATGACTGAGCTGCTATAARGTTATTTATATGTGTTTTATAAGTATACATTGAGTATCATGAAATTATCTTTTTAAAAGGCTTAATACCATGCAATCCCTCAAGGATGATTCATTAGCCAGCGTGGTCAAAACATAATGTCAATTACTAGAAAATTTGCTGGTTGTTAGAGCCAAAGGAAATAGGTGGTAGGCAATAGGCGATTGGCGATGAGAGATAGGTCATTCCAAGATCCAAGATTAGCTAAGATGATTGGAGTTACTTATTATTATTCTTGTTAAGGAGAGGTTGATGGTGAGATCATTCAGCATTGCTTGCATTCAACAAAGCCATTTTGAAGATCTTGAATATTCCTTTTTAGATGCATGCCTGCAATTCAATGAGCTATTGCCTATTGCCAGTCACCTCGCTACCTCCTCTTGCCGGCAACAAGGTGTTACAACAAGACTTACTCAGAGATACATCCCAATGAAATGCATTAGGTGTAYGAGACAATAAAACAGCATGATTTCACCATGGAATTTTTGTCTCAAGAGGAACATAATTTTGTCTTTAAAATAGATAATAATGTCATCATATAATTATTCATATAATTTGCTAAGAATACTATATGTTCCATACTGAAATAGCCTTATGAAATTGAAAGGTATATGAATATACATTCAGCTTGTGAGTGACAGAAATTAAGTTAAAAGAGTTATTCTGACCTTCAATTACACAATCGCTTTGATGTACTATAGATTGTGAATAACGCGATTTTTACCGAATTCAAGTACCGTAAATCACAAGACCATTAACTAAATTATCTAATGTCGCTCTCTATTATAAAAATTATAATAAACATGACAGTAGTAAACGACTGCAGTCATTGAAAGCAGTGTTCGACTTAGGAGGAATAAAACTCCAATCACCTATAAATTGGAGAGTTGATATCTTACCTTTAACTTGACTTTCGCTTCCATCTGCCACACTTTCAGATTCAACACCATTCTTCGCTTCTTCAGACATCTTCGAGTAACGTTTGAAGTCTTGATTTAGAGAAAATCAATTACGCCAGACTATTTATACACAGGACGATCAAGGAATTCTCTAAGTTTTGCATTTGATTTCTAATTATTTGATCTTACGAGCAAAATGTCCTTTAAAAAACGAGTTTTTAACAATAATAGGGACTCAAAAAATTCTTATTTTCCTCAAGGATCAAAATATATGAATATTAGGTTATAATATACCGCGAAATCTTTAGATTATTCGCGGAAGGATAAGAAATGAGGTGGCTGTCTAGTAGCTATAGCTCGGGCATGTAATGTGACCCCTGTAGTCATGGTAACCACTAATAATACCGAACAATATCAGTACCGAACAATAACTGAACAATATAGACTATTGTGTAATACTTTCTCAAAATTTCGTAAGTCGTTTGTTTGTTCGTTCGTTTGTTCGTTCGTTTGTTTGATTGTTTGTTTCTTCTTCTTCTTCTTTTTGTGAGTTTCGATTTGAGGAAAACATCGGGGGTGGATATCCGCAAATTCGTATACAAATTCGAAAAAATCCACAAAAATTGTCATTGATGAGTAGGTTTTTTTTGAAGCCATCCAAGAGGCACTTATAGCTATCTTTTTTTACGATCCCCCTTACTAGTGATTGTTATCCTTCATATAGCTGTCAATGTATAAACGATCCATCCTCAAGTCTCAGACCAACCCCCCCCGGGCCACCGCCACCCAACCCCCTGCCCCTCACACACACACACACACACGTGATAGATAATAACCGATTCCTCATTGCTTCCATATTTTTTTGTTGTTGTTGTTTCGTGTTTTGTTTCTAATTTTCTCTAATGTTTACTTGACCAATGTTTTCCAATATCGACCCTTCATATTATTGCACTGGTGCACTGGGACTAGAGGAATTCCTGATTCAGCGCTGAAACCGCTTCATCTTCCCATTCATTATCACCATCCACTGTTAATGTAGGCTGATGAACACAGACGAATGGGGAGCGGGAACAAACGACATCGGCCAATACTTGCTGATCGACCTGAATGGAGTTTTCAAACTGACTGGAATTGCCACTCAAGGACATACCCAGAAAGAAAATACAAAATAGCTTACCGCAGAAGTGAAAATAAAGACTTTCAGTTTTACGAAGAAAATGGCGTTGTCAAGGTTTGTCAGTAGCGAAAGTGGTTTCTTTTGTTTATGTATTGAGAAAGCAAATAATTTTACTTTCGATCATGATTATATTCAGGTATCATTGTTCCCATCCCCATCTCAATCCCCGGCCAACCGGCGGCCATCAACCATCTACCATCTCATCGTTCTCCCCCCTTTCCCTATCCCGCATTACCCCGGGATCCCCCACCTCCCCATCTCTGGTCATGGCCCTAGTCATCTTCCATCTCTCTATTCCCCATCACAAGCCTTATCGATTCGTTTGTCTCATTTACTCCAGATGTTTGATGGAAATGTTGACAAGTCTTCAGTGGCTACCAACTCCTTCACCATTAGTTTTGTGGCTCGACATGTTAAGTTCGTATCGTTGTTCAGTCATGGAAGGGGTGGACGGCAATGAGAGCAGAGCTCTATGGATGCCCAATCAATTCCATGCTACACTCATCAAACAATAACAAGGAAACCCAAAAATATTTCGTTGTCTATCATAAATTCTAAGTCAAGTCCTGCATGTTTTCGATGGAATATTGGTTGTTTCGATTGCGCCTGCTTTAATTTCCACTGCAACCAAGCATGCATGCTTTTCTATTCTTCGATTGCACGTTACGTCATCGACCTCGCGGTGGAGCTTTGGTGCCATTTGACACTGACACTTATTAGCATCCATGTTAACGGCACCAAGATGGCCGCCATGTTTTTGTCTTTTGACTCTCTTGGGAATGCTTTAGCAGTGTTAATATTGCACTGGATCTTTCTGTTCAATTCTGATATTCTTTAGGATAAGTTTATAGCTCAGAAAAGGATCACGATTAGAGGGCTTTTAGTCTCACTGTTGAATAGTTAAAATAAATAAAATAAATTTATCTAACTTAGATAACTATTTAGTTGACGTCACCTAATATAGCAAAAGCGCGCCAAAGAACGGTCATGCTAATCCGGGGGGTTGTTTTACCAGAGAATGAGTGAATAGACATTCATTTGTATCATCGTTTCTCCCCCTGATCTCAGTAGCTGTTTACTCGTAGTTTCAAACTTAGGTGACGTCAGCTAAGATAGTAAATAACTTATCTAATTTAGTTGACGTCACCTTTTCAACAGCGAGACTAAAAGCACTCTAAGCCAGACATATCAAAGCATGAGTTATAAATCATTGTTAACGATGTGCATAGAATCAGTTCCCTGGGGATTGTAGTAGTGTATGAATTCCTCAAATGAAATCGCCATGACGACAGCGTGATGTCACTAAACTTTAATACTCCAGTTTTGAGTTTATCTATTTTGTGCAGAATATTTATGTATTCCAGTGAAGGTCCGTGGAATTTCAAAGTGTTTGTACTGTTTAAGTCATGCATTCCTTACTTTACCGTTGGTATTTGTGAATATTTAGACACTGATTCGAGGCTAACTCTGAGTAAATGAGTCTGTAAACAAGAAACACAGCGGTAATTTGGAACTCGAAACTTGTCTAATCATTGTCAGCTGATAATGTAAGATCCATCCTGATTGCAAACTGTTTCCACGAGGACTGCTGAGTATAGTGAGTAAAAATTACCATGTTATAATACTTTTTTAAAGAATGATATATTACAAGTTTATAGAGCTGGTTGCTTACTGGCTGCAACGGGTCGCCATGAAAACAGCGCGACGTCTTTAAAGCGTAATGGTTTTCCTGTGTAGTCATTGAAAATCCTTCATCATACCGCCTTATAATGTTTGGTGTCAGTGGTTTTCAATCAAGTAGATTGGTGCCATGCATTTCAATGTTGCAGGAAAAGGGTGCGTGTGCACTTCAGTACTATCTACAATTAATTTGCCGCTGACAGTCACGATCGTAAATGTTACGTTTCTTAGCAACGGACCTTCACTTTTGACTATCAGTCGAGGAACATCAATTTGATATCATAAACATCAAGTATAATGAAATGACCGTTGTTATGAAGGTATGACACAAACTCTTTCAACTATTGAAAAAAAGAGCTCCGATATATCATGTTGGGGGGGAAAGGTTAGCTTTATATTGGCGTTTAAATAACAAAAATGATTTAAACATCCAAAATAAAGATGGAACATGAGATAAAACAATTATAATCGGGAATAAAATGGTGCGGCACTTCYATTCTAGAGATCAGCCCTAAGGTGATTCATTATTGTAAATAAGATTATGTTGATCGAATACAGTAATGTATTGCCGCGTTTCTCTGTGCGCCGAAGCTCAATATATCGAATACACTAATGTAAAAGCTTTAACGCGTTTTTCTAAACACTATATAAAAGCGTACCGAAATATAGGTAATACATCTGCTCTGCGCGCGACACAGTGAATACAGAATCTCAGAAATGATACGACCAACCATACGTGTGCTACAGCGCTTGAAAGAAGCAAAAATAAAGTAGACTGGTTAAATTATTAGTCTGCCGTTCCGGGAAAATCTCATATATGTTGCTCTGCGCAGAGCACTGTAGTATAGTGAGAACCGAACTTCAGAAACAATATAAAATATGGCTTTATTCATATCTGTATATGTGCTAAAGCGATAGACTAACGGATCAGTTATTATTCTACGGGGAAAATATCATTGCAGTCTTTTTGCGCGCTAGACATCGCTGTGTGGTACGGTATGGAATTGACAAAAAGCGCCCTTATTTTACATATATGTGCTACAGCTATAGACAAATAGCAGACCAGTTATTAGTCTTCCGTGGAAATACAAGTGGAGCTTTCCCTGTTCAAATTGTATGTTTGTCATGAATTTGCGCTTCGTTGTGCATCTATAAACTGCATGCGGTTCACCTGATTGCATTTATGTTTTCAATTGACGAATTACGTACTGACCGCGATCGAAAACAAAAACCTGTCCTTCTCATGCCCCTTGATAATTTATACAAATTTGTTTTTTGTATAGACGATTTGGTTGGATCGTGAATATATAAACTCGTTTCACTGATTGACATTTAAACTGTATTAAGTGACATGAAGTGATGTCCGTTCGTACTTAGGTTTTTTCGCTTTTCCGTCTATGTACTGATATTACTTCTCTTTTCCAAATAAGCTCTCTCCCTCGACAAACACGATGTAGATAGATACAGTAACAATCAAGAAAAATAACGCTCCGAGAATATATGGTTCATAAGCGCTCAAGATATCCTTCCACTCTTTTGGGTTTTCTTCCCTCAAATCGTTCGCTCTGCTGTTATCGACATAGTCCGGCCTTGAATACACAGATATTTTTCTCTGTCTTTGGTTATTGTTTGTATTAGAAGCATGGTGTATTTGGCTGTTTCCCGCGCTTCTTGTCTGGGAGACTTTCCGTACGTTTTCTGTCTGCGAGATTCCAGTTTCATACAATGTAGAAACACCGTACATTTCTTCTCTGGAAATTTTCCGCGTTTTTGCGACTGAATTTTCTTCTTCTCTTGAAACCTTTCGGCCCGACCTCGAGAATAAACCGATTCGTCTTCCACACGTCGTCATTTTCTCGGTTTATGTTTCCAGTTTTCAAGAGAGCAATGAAGACGCAGGTTGATTACAGTGAAGAGCAAGTTCAATTGTACATGGTGTACAACATAGTGAAGGAACCAAATCAAATTCTCACTGAATAAAAACAATCAGTTTTCCTCGATATATCCCGCTGTTTGTTGCTTATCTCGATCAAATACTCCTTTTGTAACACCTCRATATTATAATCACAGTTTCCACAGCAAATACGTAAATAATTTCTAGACTTAGAATGCAATCCGCGATCGTTAAGACAAATTACTGACTGAATTTGTATGCGCCGCCTCTTTTATACTCTACTATACTTTGCCCATATCCATACATATATTTATTTATTTATTTATTTATTTATATCGCTGTTAATTTATACCAAATAAAAATACTCGACGGATTCATGAATATTTAACACCAAAAACTGACTTATTTCARAAAAGGGTGTACGCACGTCTGTTTTGAAACGAAGACGGGTCAAATAGTTCCATTATCGCGGACGGAAAAATGATCCCCAATTGAATAGACCAAAGCAGGTTAACTGTCTGAGAGGATCTAAAACTGTGATAAAAATATCAGAAACAGGYGGAGAAAAAAGACGTATGCAAATTTATATGGTTTTTCATTTACAGTTGAGCAGGAACTTTTTTTTGTTGAGCAGTGTTTACACATGAGTAGAATTGTTTTTCGCCTTGTTTCGAGTGACATGGTCAAATTTAATTAGAAATGGTATTCTTTACATATTGGCTTTAGAGTTCCTGGAATATGATGTGTGTGTCTCTCACTCTCAGTTTCCAACGTATTCCCAAGCAAAATGACTAAGTCTAATGTCATTATATTTTATAAATCTTTCTCAAAATAGCTTTGATTTTAGTGAGTCATATATGGAACTTTTGGTGACTTCCTGAAGCGAGCGGATGTCAAGCAAAGACTGGAAGAAAAATTGACATAAATTTTTCCCCAAGCAAAATAAATATAAATTTCACTTAATTTGACCCATTCAACGTTAACTCCTCCTACATCACTCTCGAAAGAAAATTCTACTTTTAACGATATATTTTTTTAGTCTTTTTTGTCTTAATTGGTTCAAAGCATATGGTCAGCGAATTTAGATACTAAAATCGAACTGTTTGCGGTTGCCTTCTCTGCGATTCCTTCGGGCAAAAAAGTTAACAAGTCAAAAGCAAAAATGATAAAATTTTAGGAAGGAACTTTTTGAATATATGAATAAACAGGGTGGGTTATGTTATAGGAAAGATGAATGGAATTAAAAACTGAAATTTAAAGAGAGAACAACATGCATGGATTTGTTGTTGTTGTTGTTTTTTTTTTTTGTTTGTTTGTTTTGTTTTGTTTTTTTCCTTTTTCCCTACGCTCATTCTATTTCAGTTTACCTCATGTGATAACCCATGTATTGTTGTTGTTGTTGTTGTTGTTTTTTTTTTTTGTTTGTTTGTTTTGTTTTGTTTTTTTCCTTTTTCCCTACGCTCATTCTATTTTATTGCTTTAGCTCGTGTAATATTGAATTCGCGGCTAAAAAGACATTATTATCGCTAATCACCACAACGGCAAAGTACGACAGCGGCCGGCATGCAGTTCGAATTCTTAACTTTCGACGATTCCCTTATCGATTTAAAATATTCTATATTTCAGTAGAGAAACTTTAATGTTATGTGTCTGTCTTTTCTCGGCACCGAACATCTCCCTTCGTGCCAGGCACCTGTTTCTAATTATTTAATTCGTTTGTTATTTTGCAGCAACCCGTCTAATTATAACTTGATGCATGTCTCTTATGCATGTGTCCGCGTACGTGTCTAACTCACAGATAGGGTTGGAAATTGAAAGTTTTAGGTTTCGGTGAAAACGCAAAAGCCGGAGAAAAACCCTCGAATCAAGAGATATTTATCACCGACTGTTGTCTTAATTAATATTTTCTATGATAAATTGATCCGAAGGAAGCTAGTAAATCAAAACGCGACTAGTCATTAAAAGACAAAATTTGATATTATCAAAGAACTTTTAAATGCTGTGAAGACCCATTTAATTTTCATTGCATATGAATGGCAGCGAAACGAATTTATCAAGTGAAGGTGCAGGACGAATGATTGAAAAGGCATCAGCGTTTATCAGATGTTTCTTGAGGCCATTTTCCCATCGCGCGCATTCTTTTAACCTTATAATAACAACTTCAGGAAGGATGCTTAACTTCTTGTAAACAGACTAGACAGACCATCCACGTTCGATATCTTAAAATTCAGACTTGATTGCGAGGCTTTAGTCGTATGGTACTTCGAATAGAGACCGTTTTCTCAAGGTTGCGCGCGTGCGCATCCAACTTGACGGGCCACAAAACTGTTCATAAAGCTCGTGTTCTGATATCGTGGTCCGTCAAGTTCCTTAAATTTGGATGCGCACGCAACCTTGAGAAAACGGTCTATTCATGTCTCATACAAACATGTGGATCACCAAATACATTTACGGGTAGGAATGAAATAAGGTACCAGATATACGACGTTTATTTCGTCAAGAACATTAAGAACATTTTAGTAGAAAGGCTAGTGAGCTCACTACTCAATAAGTTAGTACGTGGGCGGTTATACTCAAATCCGTACTGACAGCACTATACGTACTGTTCCTTTTGAAAAGACTAGGCCTCGTATGATGTACTAGGATTGTAATATCTCAAAGGCGGCCGCAGTTCAATATGCAAAATGGCACGCCTGATTCCAAAAAGCAATCTTCCTAGGGCATTACACATGCGTGTCATTCTCTTGAGTATTATTTCTTTGGTATCATGGATTCATGTTCCCACGTTATTAAGTTATGCGAATACATTACCCTGTAGAAAAATAAGAAAACAAGTGCTCCTAAAACATTATCAGTTAACCATATAGTTGGTCTCATTAAACGAGAAAAACGATATTACATTCATTACTGCCTCGAGCTAAAGTTATCGCATGTGCCAGCATTGCGAGTGGTGTGTGCTCCGCTAATAAGCCATCTCTTAACTCACAGACATGGATGGTCATATGCTTTCAATGCTCGGACACGACATCATCTGTGAGTAAAGAGTTGCTTGTTTTCTCGATACTGCTTCTACGGCCGTTTTTCTCTGGGTTCTCCGGTTTTCCTATATCCATAAAAATCGATCAATACGAACATGGAGTGAGGCCCACAGGTTCAATTAGCCTCAGGCTATTCAACTCTCGCAAAACAAGGACAGTTTATTGCGGCTTAAAGAATGTGGTTCATGCAGTCTTCTGTCCCATAGATGTAGTCATGGTAACTTGCCGGAGGGTGGGCAACTGGACGACCTCAGGCGAACGAACGTGACATAATCATAAAATATCAGTCTGGTATACGAATAACTGATTAGAATCCCATTTATATCTTACTTACTTTTTCGGGGTTCAGAAAGTGAGGTTCTCGTTGGAGGCAAGTGCTTAATGAATGTAACCTAGTAGTCTACGGTACRAAACCGTTGGTTTTTACTTCTTAATGGGAATGATTTTTACTTCTTTTATAAAATGTGCTAAAGAAGTTGGCGTTTGAAAACACGAGTTTTTGAGCGATGTTCACTCGGTCAGTCTTGTACTCAGTTGCCGTGTAAGGTTATCACGACACGAGTTTCAGAGATAATACCACAATCTACATAACATATGATACTAGTTCCTCGATATTTTCATAATCCATGCAATTAATTGATTGTACAGTGCGTGCTACGCGCTCGTGGTATAAGGCCACTTTCATTAAATGTATGTGGTATTTTTCATTAAATCTTCGACAACTAAGGTGGTATTTCCTCTAGTAACTGTATCTTGTATTGCGCGCGCCTTTTCCATACCAGATCATCGATCCTATAAACCCTTCATTCAGAGCTGTGCATTCTTGTCATTGATGTTATTTTTCATTGCTTCAAGACGAAAATCATGGTCGTTGGGCTTCAGCCGACGTAAACTTCCAATTGACAAAAACAAATCATAGAGAATGTGAAAGTACGAAGAGAGTTTAATAAACGATAAAAGGTTTTTCTGTGGTATGAAAACAATGACTGGTGATGACTGGTCAGACATGCTGGCATGCCTTCAGCTTGTTTGGATGGGGTGCCGAAGTTCAAGGAGTAATTTCCAAGAACTTTGATAACTAGCCAAGTTAACAGATTGACACTTGTATTAACAAGATGTAACGATCGCAGCACGTGATGCCTTTCAGCCACTGAAATATAATAGCTTTTGACAGAAACGAGTGGGTTGTAGTATATTTTATGTGGCTCGGAACACACCCTTACGTAGATAGTAGTCTCAGTACCATATAAAAGATATATCTTTTATATGGTACATATAATATATCAATATTATACAGTATAAAGAGGAAAAAAAAACAAACAAGAAACCAAGTGGAGAGCTCGTATAAAGATTACCAATGTTAAGGGTTTACATCGAATAATGCATTATTCGAAGAAAAAATACTATGAAGGAAAAATAATATAAATTCTTATTATGATCTTGATATGGTACCGCGAGAAAAGAACACATCCAGATGTTGGTTTCGAAATGAAAAACCGTGCTATATGCCATACTCGCGACATCCGCAGAAGCTGAGGTATTGTATCGACCGCAATTAATAGTAAGGTCGCTGAACCGCCTATAATCGACCAGAATCATGAATCAGAAACCGGTCCCAGAGCGTACCTACAGCTAATCCCTTGCGGTGTACTAAAGCTTTCATTTCTGATTTTTTCTTTTCGTTTCGTTTTAAAGACACTTGAGTAGACATACAGCTTAATGTTAAGAGCTCACAATTCACCATATTAGATCCGTTCATTGCTAATATACAAACATATTTTTCCTTTCATCTTCATTCCCATTTCTCATGCATTTTTTCTTTCGTTGTTTTTAATATGGGAATAAATTCATTTACTAAGTACTTTCCACTACGAGCAAAAACTGAAAAAACGCTTGACGATTTACGACCTATAGTCTGCTCTAATGAGTCTAATGTCCGAATCGGTTTGTAGTCAAACTCTGTCGGTCTCATACGGTACAACTTGCAATGGGTATGTATCGCTTTCGAATCTAATGCCTAGTGCCAAGAAATTACCTCAAACCTTAGCGCACTTTCCATGTGTGGTTTCTAATCTGATATTCACTTCGACATTCTATTGTACATTCAAATACAATCACACAAGAAAAATCATTTCATACTCCCTCCTTTCGCTTTTCGTCTAAACCGCGTGGTGTCAAAATAGACTTACCCTCCCAAGGGTTGTGGTATTTTGGTGTTAACACGTGACATGTGACCGGTGTTATTGACTACGGCTGCGCAGTAGAGTGTTACTTCCCGTGGTTTGTCTTGTCGTTGTACTCCAACATGAATTATAGTGAAAAATGGCGATGGCAATTCTTACTTCTAGGCCTAATTCCCATCCATTTGAGGAGAGAAGAGTGTTGCTAACGGAACCCGCTAAAGTCGGACGTTCTGTAGCTAAAAGTAGGCCTGCTTCGAACAATTGTATATTTGACTGTAAAGTCTTATCGAGAAACCATGCCATTTTGTGGTACGAAGACGAAAAGGTATTTCTTGTCAATCTTGGGGTTTATTTTGATCATTGACRTTCCCTTTCAGCCAATATTAATACCCTTAAGAATATTCTTGGTATAACTGCGTTTCTAGTCTCCGTACTTGAAAGGCTTGAGAGATTTTCAACRTAGATTATTGGTATTTCGTCGAGCTGAACTTCAACTTGAGTCATATTTCTCTGCATCTGAAAGGTTGATGCAAATTAAATTTTAGACCATTTACTTACTGTATATTTACTCCAAAATGCTTTGAAACTCACCTTACTTACACCAAGTATCCCTAGATAAGCCGATGCTTTTAGTTAAACTACCAAAATCGTCCCGGAAACATGGAAAGACGTTTGACATGCACCAACATAGTCCCGAAATATTTTCCATCAGCATTCATTGTTTTTCTTGATCGTTGGCCCTATTTTTATACTTAACTCCGCATTCTCTATTTTATGGTATATTATCGCGGCATTTGAACCCAAAACAAATACCTTGTCATTGATCTCTCGTTATAAGGGATTTCTTCTTGAGCTTTTGGATTTTATCTTAAATATTTTGGTACCAATAACTTATATTGCACAAGTTTGATACGATCCAGMAATCAATTATTCTAGAAAACAAAAAATATAAGATTATGATATAAATAACGATCATAACGATTATGAAAACTTGGCTGTATATCTGTAAGACATTGCTAATACTCTGAACTATTGATCTTTAGGTATTTTTCTTACCCAATGAAGGATATAATTAATCACAAYATCGCACATTAACACAATAATGATAAATACCAAAATCTCAAGCTAGTTCAGATTTAATTTTGTGCCSTATATAACTTATATCAAATAATTAAAACAAAGATAATAGGTACAACCACTATTCTTCTTTTTGTTTTTGTTTTTTGACCATTTTTTTTCAATGGAAACAGAATTTTGAAGGTGATAGTTTTTGATTGATTTCAGTTTTTATACATGGTAATGATTATAATTTCTGGGGACATAAGTTCTATAGTAATCTTTCACAAAACTTTCGGAAGTTATGTAAGGTTTATAACTTACTGCATYGAGACACTAGTCCCTTATGAATCACTTGACAAAAGGAGTATATAATGAATAAATTTAAAAAGCTTAACAAGTATTATGAAGTAAATTTATTTTGCCAAGTTTAGTTGATTTGTACTATAACATGTATGTATAAAGTGAATCATAAGTAGTACGTTAAAAATACTACGTTTTTCCAGATGAATGAGTATCCATTGATAATTTGTATGACATTTCTTGACCTCCTTCAGCATCAGCAGTTATAATTTCACTTTGCATTCTGCCTACTTCAGCCACAATATCTCTTGTATATGATGATGTGTTGATGTTAACATTTTAATAACACATTTTTATAGACCTCRTTGGATTTGGAATAATGTTTTRCCATTTCAGATTAAGTATCATTTCTTTGTTTGGTTGTTGTGTATGACAAGTCACATAAATATGGATACRACTCAAACAAAGAATATTATTCTCAAKAGAAYGACACATKRTCCAAAAGGGAAAAACATTATTCCAAAGTTAAAGAGGTCTATCAGCACCAACACTTTACGTACAGTAAAYGTCCAATACGGAGATATACATACATATATACGTAGTTTAAATGCCCTTACGTTATCAAGCTTCTTTTGAAACTTATGAAAAACAAGCCTGATTTCCATTATGATACAAGCATAAGCATAAATGAAAGCATATATCAAAGTTTTTTACTGTTATGCTTGTGCATATTCTTGTGCATGTATTGAGCTCAAGATTTTGATTATTGACCACTAGTAAATCTAAAAAAATGTCCTTGCTACTAAATTGCCAAATTGCAATATTGCCAGCTGGCAACTTACCTTTCAAATACCTGGCTCCCCTACCCCACCGCTGAAAGGCACCCTGATGTTTAGAAATGAAGAATTATGTCCAAAAAWAGAAATTTGGCAATGAAATAGACTTAGTTGCCAGTTGCTAGAAGAACTGTGTTGAAGAAGTAAAACTTGGCATTGTTTTACCTCATATGGAGAGAAACTGGTCGAAATGTTTGTGTTCACATTGTGCAATTTGTGTTGAAATTTTTTTTCAAGCTTGATTTATTTTGAGTATATTTATTTATTAAGATTTATTGAATATATTTATTTATTTTTCAAGCTTTTGACAAGCTTGATTTATTTTGAGTGCAAGGGTGGAAATTTAAAAATAAAAATTAGGGGTTACCAAATTCGTTGAGAAGGAAAAATTTTTCGAAGTTAGGGCTTGCAGCCATCTTTTCGGGCAAAATTTAATGATGTATTTTACAGCTCTCTCAACATTTAGATATTGGTCAGTGTGAATATGTGTTTGCATAATATAATGAGAAGCCAGAATTTCCGCATTTTATGATGTTTAAGAATAAGTTTTCRAAGCTAAAATCTTGAAAAAAAGCATTTTAATCTTCTTTTCTTCCTAATCAGTTTAGGTAACTATTTTGTATTTACTCTTTTACTCCGACGAAGGACTAGCGTCCGAAACGTCAGTAAGATTTTTCATCTTTTCAAGGTGTATAATTTACCTTTTTATCATAACTATTTTATATTGTTAGATAATTGCCGTTGAAAATGAAAATGCCTTATGAATTCCATCACAGGAAGCCCAAACACTGAATACTTTGAAAATGAATAAAAAGCACATGTGCAGAAACAACACACACAAATGCATGATCACATTAGTAACCTGAAACCAGGATTCAATTAGACTTGATATATAAAAGCATATAGCATGATGTCTAATGTCTACAAATAGACCTTTCCCTAATTTGCTTAAACGACCACGAAACAATTGTTTGAAGTTGAGACTGAACTTGATTCTTTTATTCATCAAGTTAAACCTCGACTTTGAATCATTGTTTAGTGACCAGTCAATYGAATCTGCGAAAGGTCTGTTGTATCTATTCCTATTACCTAACTAAACTAAGTTATTTTTTCTCTCCAGTTTTTTCTACGTGATACAAAAAGTAGCAATGGCACCTTTGTAAATAATATCCGTCTTAGTAAAGGATCAGAAGAGAGTGAACCTAAAGAACTTAGTTCTGGTGATATTGTACAGTTTGGTGTGGATGTTGTAGAGAATTCTAAAAAAGGTGAGGATAAGTTTTTTTTTGTTGAATGTACAWTGTAAAATGAAGTAAATAAATCAATAGTAATATGATAGCTAAGTGGTAGTATTTGATTGCACATTACATCATTGCAACCTCTTGAGTAACACACAACAGGCAGAACRAAGCCTGGGAGTGGATGAACAAACAATGAATGGTGAGATGAAACAAAGAACGCAGCTCACATGTAGAACAATACACATTGTTCACCATAATCCATGCTTTCTTTGTTTTTGTTATTTTATCCAATCCCAAGCTTCGTTCTACCAGTGGACACCGACCCAACCTCTTGGGGGAGCATTGGTGCCGTTTAACAAAAGGTTTCTCATTAGCATCCATTGTTAAYAGCACCAAGATGGCCATCATGTTTTTCTCTTTTGACTCTTTTGGGGTATAATTGCAATACGTCAACACATAGCATGGAATGTACCACACATAACTTAGAAAATAGAAGTGGTGCAYGTTACATGCAAGGTAAACTGTGAAAAAGCTAAATAAGAATAATGGCTATGATGGCTTTCCTCTGTTGTGATTGGCTGTGTTTTCTATGACATGGGATTTAAATGAGCAACTGTTCCAGGTAGAGTAGCTCTCATAACAAATCTAGTAGATTAAAATGAGTTAACTTATTATTGCCTATTTTTCCTGAATTATCCCTGCTTTATCAAAATAGCTAACCAACATGCTTTATGATAAGAATTTATCTTGTAAAAATGCAGTTGAATTTATCTTGTAANAATGCAGTTGAATTTATCTTGTAAAAATGCAGTTGAATTTATCTTGTAAGAATGCAGTTGAATTTATCTTGTAAGAATGCAGTTGAATTTATCTTGTAAGAATGCGGTTGAATTTATCTTGTAAAGATGCAGTTGAATTTATCTTGTAAGAATGCAGTTGAATTTATCTTGTAAAAATGCAGTTGAATTTATCTTGTAAGAATGCAGTTTATCGAAATTCTTAGGTGCTGGGCTTCCTGTGGCAATAAAGCATTGCCATAGTGTTTTGTAATAATATTGATAGACTACCTTCTCTCTTGTAGTAACCCATGGATGTATCRTAGCAAACATAACACTTTATCTACCAAATGGAATTGAAGCAMCAAGGTAAGTGTATTTTTTTATTCCTACAGGTTGTCGAATACTATAACGACCACCAAATTCACTTATTTTTCATGTCAGTCAACCAGAGATCTTTTTCAAATAACATGGTGTCTGAGTTCAGCCTTTCTTTCTTCAACTTCTCATCATGGTTGGGTTCTCAGATTTTTCTTCTCCTTGGTTGGGTAAAGTGTGAAGAAGTTAGTTGGGTTGGTACAGTGTCATGCGTCACACTAGCTAGAGCATCCTAGGTTGAACTCAAGTTGAAAAACTATCATAGTTATTTTTTCTAGTGCAGTACTCTAAAAATCATGTGTTCTTATTGGCTGCAAAAGTGGGTGGTATTTTCTATCCTGGACTGCGATCTTGTATTCTGGGATAATGAATTGCTTTAAACAATTGCAAATTTAAAATGAAGATGATGAAAAGATGAAAAAATTGCAAAACAAAATGAAAAGTAAACGGGAAAAAGATAAAATAAGTTATTTACCATCCAAAAATCAGTCTAGATAGAAAAAAACTGTGYCCTCAGTCTCAAAAACGGAYCTCGTTCTTACAGTCTCTGTAYATGTCCGTACAGGTATATTCAAGACTCCAGGTACAGTTTCATATCCAGACCTCCCAGCCAGTAAATAACCTCTATTCATTTTTTCTGGTCCAGTATCCTAAAAATCGTGCATTCTGATTGGCTGTTTTAGGTGGCAATATTTTCTMAGTATCTACCCACAGTCTGGTATCCTTACATCATGCGCACACACACATGTGATAACAAATTGCTAATGGCCTTGGTCTATGTATTCAAGATCTTGAGCACAGTTTTTCCCTATCTAGACCCCCTGGCCAGTAAATGACGTAATACATATACATTACYGAACCCACAAAGATGTTTGAGATTCTCTTTTACCTAACCACAACCATATCAGGAYTCAGATTAAAAAATCTCTGTACCATGTACTTAAACAAGAAAAATCTTAAGCACGACACCTGTCATGCTTATCAAGTTCCATTAAARATGGTTACCATGGCAGACAAGGTGTTGAACAATCTGAAATGCTAATGTTGTACACACAAACTTGTATAATCATTGCCATTAGAATATAATTATAGTCACTCGAATAACTTTCTTTTAATACTTCGTTAGATTATAGAAAATAAATAATGAAATAAAGACAGTTGATAAGGCAACATGACAAACGTTTAGTGCTTTATATGACAATTATTCAAATGGCCCATGCTGGGGCTTTTGTAATGTGGTAGCCCAAGTTATCTGGGAGAGTAGATAGTTCCCTTGACACCCTGATATCCAAGGACTTCAGATAGTGTAGTCTACAACCACTGATAGAAGATAGCCTTTAGTAGATAACCATAGAGTACACCATTCGAACGCAGTTGCAGTGACTAGAGTAGATTTATTGACGGTAGATATTGTTACCGTTCAGTTTTCTTATCTGGCAGTTAAATGAAAAAATTATTTTCATGGGAATAAACATAGCTCTTGTGTGCATGAGGAACATGCATTTCAAAAATCTATAATAACTGTGGGTGATATTACCAATGCATAGGGTTATCTGAAGGATATCAGCTTGGTAAATCAAAAATAAATGTCTTAATAGCTTTTTTGGGTTATTGTGGTAGAAAAAAAGGTTAAAAATAGTGTCCAATAGAATAGAAATTATCCTTGCTRTCATAACACAATTTCCTCTTGGGTTTATTATCTAAGTCTGAGCCAGCCAGCCAATAGGATGGAGCTGATATGTAAACTTAAGCTGATAGAATTTGCATTTTTGGTGGCACGATACAGTCTGACTAATTAGACATTAAAATGYTCAAGTCTAGTTTGGACTACTGACTCTCCTGAGACCCAAAACATGATATCGACTCATATGTATTGGAAACGCCTTATGCGAGTTGTTTAAAGACAGTATAAAATGTCRCAGAAGAAATTTAGGCTTACCAATCATATAGCCAGGTTAGAATAAACTTGAGGGTAGTTCTAGTAAGGAAATAGGTCTTATTTTGTAGCAAATCAAAACCAATATAACAGATTTTATTAAGAGTACCACATGAAGTTAATTTTAACATCTGAACCTCATTTTTAAACTGTTGTTTCTGTGCATGCTTAGGTGCTCTTATTTTTGTATCTTGTATCTTTGTTTTAAGCATTTCCTTAATGGTATTTGTTAATTTTTAACTATCCTGTTTAATTTTTAAGGCATTTTGACGTTTTTATTGTATTTTAGATCATCTTCAAGAGGACTCTTCAAAGTGGTAAGTTGGCAAGAGTTATTTCATACCCTTAAAGGAATAAATCTTTAAAAACATAARCTTTCTAATTTATTTTTCATTTAAAGAACTTTTTATGTGCAAATTGGTTGGCTCACGCAGTTGTCAATGGCCAACATGGCCGAAAGGTTGGCAAGAAAAAATTTTTTTTTAGGTAGTGGATATAAATCTTTTACTATAAGATGCATCCTACGTACAAGAATACGCTAGAATTAACTTTAAAAATATTTTAAAAATTAAAATCCGTCTTTTCGTTGCTGAAACATTTGGATTTGCAGCTAAAATGAAACAGACTATGTTGATCAGTGTATTATTGTCACCTTAAATTATTTTTATWTTTTTCCTAATTATCTTTCCATAAGAAATCTTTCAAACTTCCAAATTCAAATTAGGAAAATAAGTTTGTACTTAAAATTTAAAATTCATTTAATTCTTCAAATTATTGTACCATTTCTGACAGGTGTAACGTGTCTGAATTTGATTATAAAAATTAATTTCAACTAGTTGTTTCAGTTTCTTAAAGGCTCTAAAATCTCACTTAGAATCTTGTAAACGATATGGGCATTAATTGATATATGTTTGACACTTCTTCCTTTCTGTTGCATTATTTTGGTTTAATAGATTGGATATTGGGAATTCTAAATCCATATGATATTACTCAAAATTTGCGATTTACTAGTTTTAATATTTTTGCCTGCGTTTAATTCCCGTTTCTCTAGAGAGACAATGGCCTTCCAGCACAGGAGCTATGGCAACTCTCTCAGTATCTACAGGTTTGTATTTGAAAGGCATCTCGTCTTGTTTGTCATCTTAGACAAAAAATCATTGCTTTATTGGCTTTAAAATTATGACATCAATATTACCGGATTGATGATGTGGCTTTCAATTTAGCTTGAAAAACCTTCAAATTATTGATCCCCTGAAACAACTTCTAG